TGAGAAACAACACATCACAATCTAATTTTTTGCAAAAATGCTAGGGCTGATCAGTTCAGGGAGTTAGAAAATGTTACCATTTAGGCCAAGGTAGCAGGTCCCATCCCATGTAGTCAGGTTACTCTGCCCCTGGTCACAACCGGTATTCTTAACTCTGCTCAGCATCTCACAGATTTAGGCCATTGGTACAATAAGAAAGAATGACTCAGTGCAGATTCATTCCTGCTATTGTAGCAAGAGACAGCCTTATTTACTGACTTATACCAGTAACTTAATAGCAATAGGTTGCCAGTTACCACATGGAGGATAGTAGTATGACTTCTTTGTTTTTGTTTTTAAAAGGAAAAATGTTAATTTGAAACTTAAGATGTAACATTGTCCGAGAACTGATATGAAATTCATTTTCTTAAGGAAAGTTCTGTAGAGATTCAAGGTGGCATTTCATTGCAGTCACAGAGTTGTGATGAAACATTGACCATCTGGCGACAGTGGCCCTTGTATGCTCTATTTTTGCTATTGATTCTTCGAAGCTTTACTTCTGGTCCAGAGGGCCACGCTGGTCTGGTTTGAGTTGGGAACTTTAAAGTATGAAATTGCTGAAGGCCCTAGATTGGGAAATGGAGTTTAGATGGTTTTCTTTAAGTGTTATTAGCCTTACTTTCACAAGTCTGTATGTAGTTAGTTCTGTGAAAAACCTGCCCAGACTCCAGGACCACCCCTTATAGGAGGCATTTTCTGAATCTTCCAGCTGTTAGTGCTCTTCTCCATTCCCCTCCCCCCCACACTTTCCCCCATGCTGGGAAATGACTTTGAACTTAACTTTGTATCTTATATTTTATTTGCTTAGCTGTTTAAATGTTGTTTTTCCCTAGCATAATATAAGCTGTTTGAGGGCAAGGACTTTTTCACTTGTGTTTTGTTGCCCTCAGCACCTAGTGTGATGCCTGGCATATTGCAAGGACATCCTAAATGCTTGTTGAATTGAATGAAATTGATCGTTATTCCTTTATTCAGAGATTGAGACCCAGGACATTATTTGGTCCACTTAGAAATAATCCCTTCGAAGATACTCTGCTTTTACCTAAACTCTCCTAACAGACAGCTTTGTATAGTAACATGAGGAGTACTAAGTAGGCAGAATCGGCTAATGATGAAGTTAGAGGACCTGGCTTCACCTATCAGCTTTGCCTCTTAATACCATGTGACTTTGGCCAAGTCAATTAACTTCCCTTAGCCTTAAGTTTCTTCATCTATAAAACGATGGGGTTAGACCAGAAGTCCATTTTACAGATGAGGAAACGGAGGCTCAGAGCAGCTTTAGGTGATGCCTTTTGTCACAATTAGTGGGAAGCAGGATTCAAACCCAGTTCTCACAATTCCAGCACTCCATTACATAGAGGCTGCTTCATGAGCTTCATAAGGCAGCTAGTTTGCCTTGTGGATAGAGTACTGGGCTTGGAGTTAGGAAGTCCTGAATTCAAATGTAGCCTCAGACATTTACTAGACCCTGGGGAAGTCACCACACTGCTGTTTGCCTCAGTTTTCTCACCTGTAAAATGGGGATAATAACAGCATCTACTGGCCAGAATTGTTGTGAAGATAAAAATGAAATAACATTTGCAAAGGGCTTTACAAGCCTTTAAGTACTATGTAATGTTAGTTATTATTATCACAAGGGGCAAAAAGTCTAAACCCTGGTTTTTCTCTCTGAATTTTTGTTTTTCTGTGGGTAACAGTGTGCCTTCTCTGGAGATACAATTTAGTTGTTTTGACAGCCTTTGAAGAGATCTTGAAGCTTTTACAAATTTAAGGAAACTTTGAGAAGATCTAGCCTACTTCTGTCATTTTATACATGAAGAATTTGAGGTCCATTTATAGGTACTTGACTGAGGGGCTGGGATGAGGGCTTTAATTTAGCTTCCTATTCTGTTGTTTGGAGGACCACAGTTCTGCTCCACTAGCAGGGAAGGTCAGTGGAAAGCATTTGGGAGTTGGCAGTGTTAACTGGTCCCTAAGAAGCCATGCTGTTACCTTCTGGCAGTACCATATGCAGATGCTGTTGTATTAATTATAAAGGAAACCTGATTAACTTGGAAGTTCTTTAACTGTCTATAAAGCAGCTGTTCCAGGTCAGAAACAGGTTTTGTTCTTCCCTCTCACTGCCAGCCTGAAGATTTTAAACTGTGCCTGAAGTGTTTTTGTTTTTTTAAATGAATAGGAAGACTCCTTTATTTAATTCAGCAGCCCATTGGTCTATAGTTATAGTGGGTCAGAAAGGATCCTCAGTATTATAAATTTTTAGGTAACTTATGAAGTCATTCAAGCCAATAGTGAAAATCGCTTCCATTTTGTTTGACTTTTGACCCCAGAAGCTCCTAAGGAGCAACTCCATCTCTATGCCTCTGCCTCATTTCTTATTGTCAAGATCTTTAAAAAGGATAGAATACTCAGGGAGAAAACCACTCAGCAAGTTAGCTATGGTCTACTTATTGAGATGCTCTCTTGACTTCCTGGAGTGAATACCCTTGTTGCTTATAAAACTCTCATTAAATTAAAAAATAATGCAAATAAAAATGGAAGTTTCCTTATCAGTAGTCTCTGGTCTGATTCCTCAGTGTTTCTTCATAGTGGGTAAGTATTTATTTCAGTATCAGGAATTGGGATGGTAGTTTTGGCCGGATGAATAAATGGGCGTGTCTGCTGTGGTTTTGGCCGATGGGCTGTATTTTCTGCCTTCCCCATATATCGGAAGCCGCCTCAGAGAATTCAGGCCTCTCCCTGCTGATCCTGAGCAGCAGCATAGCTTTAGTTGGTGTTGGTTTCTTGACTGCTCTCTGTTCTAGTACCCAGCAATCACAGAACTCAGTTTTAAGCTTATGCCTTTCAGCACTGGGACTGGGTTGAAAGAGACCCTGTAGGTCATCAGTTTCTCACTAGAAGTCAGTTAGGGTGTGAGGAAGAAGCCCAGGCACAGGCTATCCATTAGAGGAGGGCTGGGAAAGAAAGATTAGGTGAATTAGGGGGGTGCTGAAAGCCTAATGGGCTCCCTTGGTGGCTCAGGCTGAGGCTTTGGTTGTATAAAATTCTGCAAGACAAGTAAGGGGTCGCTATTTTCCTGTCCTTATTCATCCTTCATTTTGAAACAAAAGATGTGTTTAGGAGGACTGTCTCTTTCAGATTTTGCTGCCTATTTGGCCACTTCAAAGTGTGTCTTCCTCTGTCTTGCTGTGTATAAGACTATTTCTGGCCACAAGCAGGTTCTGACCCAGGGAACTTCCATCTCCACTTGCAAAGTGAATATAAGAATAAGTAGACCTGTGTCCTTTGAAAGACCATAGCTTGTCACTGTGTTTTGCCTCCCTTGCAAAGAGTAGGCATTAGTAATTGTGTTTTGTCTTCCAGAGAACTTTCCTCTCCAGCAGGGCAATGAGCATGCCTGATTTTCTTATTCAAGCTACTCTTCTCTGGCATTTTCATTTCTACTGTTGCTGATGAAATTCTATCAGGTTGATGTGTTTATGAAAATGAAGGGAAGGGGCTTGAAGGAATAGTATGAGGAGGCTTCCCCAGCCAAAGATGAGAGCAGATTTGGGAAGGCGTAGCTTTGATTTTGTGTTTCTCATATTGGTGCAGAATTATGTGAGAGGGAGGGAGGTGTGGGGATCAGCCAGAAGTACTTCAGAGCCAGGCTGGTTCATTTGGAAGTGTGACACCTTATATGAGCCAGACTTTCTTCCAACTCTGCTGTACGAAGTGAACAGCTTCATATTTGTCCAGTACCACAACACAGGCCTGACACTCCCAGATGGAGGGCCCTGTGAGTGATCGTGGCCCCTGGGTCTCACAGTTTGGATGATCGCATTGGGGGTGGGGACCTTGCATCTCTAGAACTGCACTTTTTGAATATCTAAAGGCAAGGAGGTTTGTGTTTGCCTGGTGGCCCTGACCAGCCTGACTTGTGTGGCAGTAGTTGGGGGAGGGAAGGAGCGAGTATCCAAGCCAGAGCTGAAGGCAGGCTACCTGTGCCGGCTTTTCACAAAATGGCCCCAACTCGCTTTGGTGCTTTAGGAAGGTTTTTCCTCTTCCCTTGTGGTGTTTGAACCTATTTGGGAAGCAAAACAGCTATCCTGAGGAACCGTGATTATTTAGAGAGAGAAGAGTGATAGAGAAGAAGAGTTTTTGTTTTGTTTTTAAAGAGATTGGAGAGAAAGTTCATATCTTCTAGATTTGGCTGGATTCTGTTTTGCAGGGCACTGCCCTCTTGTTCTCATTCAGAGTCTTACTAGCCTTGAACTGAAGCAATAGAATCTCATGAAACTGGTTTTTAATTGGTCTCTTTTTGATTGTAGAAGGGGCTAACAGCTGTGTTCCATCATTGTATGTCCAAGAGAGGACTGGGAAAGCCTCCAGAGCTTATTTTTTACCAAAATTTATCCTCATTTAAATGCAATAGGATTGTGTGCATGTGCATTTACATGCATATGTATATATAATCTATCATATAAATGGTGACAATAGCATACATTTTTCAAAAATAAAGAAGTTCATAAAGGATGTGGGTGTATGCATTGTGTACATACATTGGGTTTTCTCTGTTGGATAGGTAGGTGATTTTCCCATTGTTGGACTTGAATTCTACTTGGAATTTTGCTTGTTCTAGCCAGCTTTGTCTTCTTGAGAAGCTGGGTTCTGGTGACTCCGTATTTGTTTATGAATTAATTTATGTGGCAAACTTCTTAGATTGTCCATCTATACGATAAGAAAAGGGTAGGTTAGTACTGTTACGTTACCCTGGATAGAAATCATAGATTATGATCAGGAATAAAAATCCTATGAAGTGTTCATGGAATCCCTTTGAAAGTTATTTTAATAGGTCAGGCTATTTTCCTAATGGTTTTTAAAATTGATAAATCCCTAGTGGTTTCTTGTTTTAAACCCTGGCATTTTAATGGAATCTCTCTTTCTTTCTCCCTCTGTGTTCTTTTCCTGTTGACTCCTAGGGCACTTGAGCTGCATTTCTTTCCCACCCCATGAAGAAGAGTACCTCCAGTTGATGGTGAACTGCCTTCCCTGTATCTTCATCCTGGGCCAGGACTGTAATGCAAAGTGCCAGATGCTGAATATGTTACTGGGGGAGCGGATACTGCCCACCACCAAGCGGGGCAGCGAGGACAGCTGTAAGCGACGGCGCCTCCACTTCACTAATGGGAATCAGACTCGGGTCAGCCTGGCGCTGCCTAGCCAGTATGAACCAGTGCACACTCTGGCCTCCCACCAGGGCAAGTGGGAAACCATTCCTGAGGAGGACCTGGAGGTCCATGAGGACAGTGAGGACCCTGCCCACATCTTGGCAGAATTGGAGGTGACAATGCACCATGTTTTATTACAGGTACAAAATACATTTACTCATCTATATACATACCCAGACACACACACACACACACACACACACACACACACACACACACCCCTCCTACAACCAGCCTTATATATCTGCTTTCTTTTTGCTTTAATATTTTACATTTGTTTTTATATCAGCTTCATTTCCAAATATATCCCTCCCCCTTCTCCTATGCAGCAAAATATCCCTTGTAACAAAAAAGTGGAAAAAAAAAGAGGGGAGAACAAAAGCAGTTGAGCAAACGTAAACAACGTCTCAGTGGAGTCTGACCCATACTGCACATGCTGTTTCTTTGATGCTGAGATGTATTCTGAGTTCTCAAAGACAGCTGCCCGAAGTTAAGGGCAGTGTGACCTAGTGAAGAGAGGAGAGGTAAATGAGTAGGGGACCTTGCTTCCATGTGTGACTTCTGTGTTGCTGCTGTGCTGAAAGACCTCAGGTGAGCTGCTTAGCCCTTCTCTGTCTATGTTCCCTTCACTTGAAAGGAAGAGAATGAGGTTGACCTCTTTTCTGGAAACTTTGGAAGAGCTGTTATGATCAGGGTTGTTGTTTTTTGAAGAAAATGCTGTTAAATTTATCCTTAGCTCCTTTTTAGAAAGAAAGAGAAGAGAGGGTGATATTGTTAATTAGAATAATTAGAGCTTAAGATTGGGAGCAGAAGTTTGGAAGTTTTTCCTTGGAACCAGCCATCAGTTACTCATCAATTACATAAGTTTGACATATCCTCTTCCCTAGAAGGTGCTTATGTCAGAGGATAGATTTTATATAGCTGTGAGGTAAGGGTGGGGCTGGCTTAATAGAGGGATTCCTAGCAATTCAATTAAATTCAACTATCATTTATTAATAAGTGCCTATTAGATATGAGGCAGAATGAACACTGACCCAAATCCCTGCTCACAAGGAGAATATATTCAGACACTTTAGACACATAAAATACACTGTAGAATGCTACAGGGGCAGAGGAGTGAGCATCTGAGGCATATTGGAGGAGGGAGGGAGCACTTCTGCGCAAGTAATAAAGATTTTGTGCAACTGGATGAGGCCAACTGGCTTCTGAAGGGGGCATAAATCCCCATCTGCTATAGCTTAGTTTCCAAGAGTTGCCATGTCCATTTGGGTTAGTCCGTACCTATCCCTGGTGTGTATTTTACATACTCAGACCAACGTAGCATAGAAGGGATTGACTGTGCTGGTTTACCAAAGTGCAGATTTCTGCCAGTACAACTTGAGTCTCTGTTTTTCCTTTCCCTTTAGGCTTGATCAAAACATCAGACTCTTGATCTCTGTGCCTTGTCTCTGTTGCTTCATGTGGTTTGTCAGATTTTCTTCTTTAATACTTTTTCAGTCATTTGCATTTATTTTCTCTCCTCCACTGATTAAAAGGGGGGGAAAACCCCTTGTAATAAATATGCACAGTCAAGCAAAACAAATTTCTGAATTGGCCATGTCCACACATGTATGTCTCTACCTGTCAAGAGGTGCATAGCATAGCTCATCATCAGTCCTCTGGAATTGTGGTCCATAATTCATCCAGATTACATTGTCGGTGTTGTACAAATTGTTCGCCTGGTTACTGTGTCAGTTTATACCAGTTTCCCCAGGTTTCTCTGACTGTCCCCCTTTCATCATTTTTTATGGCAGAATATTGTAGTATTCCATTACGTTCATGTACCGTAACAGCAGCAACAACAAGGATAACTAGCATTTATGGGTCTCTTTAAAGTTTGCATAGCATTTCTTATTTCATTTGATCCTCACAACACCCCTGCGAGGTAAATGCTGCAGATGAGGAAATTGAGGCTGAGAGAGTAAGTGACTTGCCCAGGTCAGTAAAGTGTCTGAGGGAAGATTTGAATTCAGATCTTCCTGACTCCAAGTCCAGGACTCTTTTCACCACACCTAGTTGCCATTCCCAGTTGGTGGGCAACTCATGGAACTTTTTTCTCCCTGGACCCTACTGTGTTCTCAGCTATTGATGTGGAAGACACTGGAGTTCTGAGAGTGGATTCCCTTGTTTGCCATTCAGTCAGTTGGTCGAATTGGCTATCTAAACCCTCAAGTACGTGTGCATCTTTAATCCTCCCCCAGAAGTCCCCAGGATGAAGGATGGCTCCTAATCTTTCTGTCCGTTGTTCAGACCCCAGCCCAAGTTAGACAGTCCCTGAAGTTCAGCCCTCTGCTTGGGGCATTTAACAGCCCTCTTGCATATTTCTCATGGTAATGACAGAGATCTCTTTGTTTGGCTCTGGTTATATTTAGGACAAGTCAGATCCAAACAACCCCTCCAGTTGATTTGGAAAGGGTGGCAAATCAAGGAAACATTTGGTTAAAGGAAGCCAATGTTGAATAAAGGGAAATGGGACGTTCATTTTGAACTGTCAGATTATCAAAGCAGGACTTCCCTCCACCCTCATCCTCTCATACAATGCTCATTCTTCTAATGCCTTACTTTAAAGTCTTCATGGATTAACAGTAAATGGTTTATTCTAGACTCAGTCACATGGTTAATTTCAACAATTTACTTGCAGCTATCTAATACGTTTGAGTATTCTATTATATTTGTTGATGGTTACTCAGTTTATAATAAATTTTTAACAATTTTTTAAAGATAGCTCCAGCTAAATTTAATTCAGCACATTTATTGAGTACTCACTACGTAATTAGCACTTTAGTAGACAGCTAGAAATAACAAGCTGTTGAAATTAGCCATGTGAATCTAGACTAAACTGGTCATAACTCTATATGAAGTCTTTACAATAAGACATAGAAAAATGACCAAATGAACATACAAAGTAAGGAGTAATGTATCATAAAGAAACTCCAAACTTGGGGAATTTAACAAGTGCCCCAAGCAACTCTAAAAGATAATTGCATGCCAATTACTGATTTGCCTTGGTTGAAGGAGTTTCCTTCCTTGAGACTTCTCCCCCACTAATGAAATCACAGGCCTGGACCAAAAGAAGACATACTAAAGAGTCAACGGAACAGCTAACACCAAAATGCAGTTGTGCCATGTTTTGTTTCCAGTCCATCTGCAGTTTAACTGGGACTTCTTACTGGAAAGTTCTACACCAGAAGGACATTGCCAAGCCAAGGGGATTTGAAATCTTGGCTGGCGTTTGTTTATCAGCACGATCGGACAGCACAGCAGCTGGGCCACACCTTGGATCTGTTCCTGCTATGTTCATCAATTACATCCTGGTCTACTGAGGGGCTTCTCTACTTGCATAACCATTTGTTAGCGGCTACGCTTTGTTCCTTTTCTCATTCTCTCTTCTTATTTAAAAGAATGAAACCATTTCCCCCCACAGCTTTCTATCTCTTCCTCTCCTCTTTAAGACTGTTTCCTTTCATAGTGTGGCTTAAAGTTAGAACTGCCTGGGTTTGAGTCTTGGCTCTGCCATTTACTTGGGCAAGTCACTTAAATTCTATCTGCCTCTGTTTCCTTATCTGCAAAATGAGGATAATAGCTCTGTACTGCTTTCTCACAAGGTTATTTTGAGGAAAGTACTTCGCAGACTTGTGAAACACTATAGAAATGTGCTACGGTGTTGGTATTATGATTATTAGGAGAGCATAAAAGGAGGAGGACAAGAGAGTTGAAGCGGAGATGATATTTGCTTGTCTGACTTGGATTTTTTTGAAGCTATTAGTTGGGATCCTATGAACATTTCTGTGGCAGGCTTGTTATGTTGTTTTGATGCATTTTCATTAGCTGAGCTTTTTGTCTTCTTTTGCCACAAACTCATTTATTCGAAGCAGGTGCTTCCTGACTCCTTGTTGTCAGGCTGCCATACTGACTTGGCTGTGAACTTAAGGTGCAAGGTGGGCCATGCTAGGATATTTTAAGATGGACTAATGTTCCTAAGCAGAAATATTAGAAATACCCCAATTAGCAAATTAATTTAAATTCCTGTTTATATGAATGCTTTCATCTGTAATTATATGATTGTTTGAAATAAAATTTTCTCTCTTCATTAATGTCTCTCAATGAAATTGTAATTTTCCATTTCTCAGGAGTCTTTTCACACACTAGTGCCTGTCATTGGGATACGAGAACTTACTTAAATTAACGATTGGTTATACTTTGTAGAAGAGTTATAAACACATTCTCATTGTATTTTTTTTCCCTGCTGGGAAATTAACTTCTCTGTTAGTCTTATTTTGGTAGCTTTTAGCCTACTGCTAAATAATCCCGGGAGGGTTCTACTGTCATCTCTAGTTGAAGAGTAAATGGGGGTAGGGTTGGAGTTAGGAATGAGGAAGGCTATAGTGTAAAGGTATGTTCTGTCTGGAGGGGAGAAGATTTTGGTGGTTCCCCCCCAACCCCAGGTAGTCGGGGTTAAGTGACTTGCCCAGGGTCACACAGCTAGTAAGTGTCAAGTGTCTGAAGCCAGATTTGAACTAAGGTCCTCCTGACTCCAGGGCAGGTGCTTTATCCACTTCACCACCTAGCTGCCCCTCTTTTTCATTCTTAATCCTAGGTTCATACTATTCTACGTCAACTTTCTTTTCACCTTTTCCTTGGAGCTGGGTCAGTTGAATAGTAGGTAACTACCAGAATCTTGGTTTGCAATCAAGTGCACTTGTAGCCTGCAGAAGCGGGGTTCTTAGGGTGTTAAAGGTGCTGTTTTCTCTTTGACTTCCTTTCCTGATTTGCTGGCCCCTGAAGAGGAGAGGCCAAAGAGAATGGAGCCATATTTCACTGGCAGGTACTTTGCAGTCATTATGGCCAATATATAACTTGTACATAGATTGCCTTTTAAGGTGTCATAAAAAGTAATATTCCCCAGTATCTCTCTTCCATTCCCATATCTGGCAACCCACATTCTTTGAAACTTCTCTTTTTTCAAACTTGAAGCTTACTTACATTTCTTTCTCTCGTCCTTTTCTCAGAATAATGAATAAATGAATGAATGAAGCATTTATCAAGCACTTACTAGGTGAACAGCACTGTCCCAAGTGCTGGGGATACAAATAGAAAAATAACACCAGTGCCTGCCCGTCGAGGAGCTACCGTTTTAATGCAATCAACACACAGGGAAAGTCTCAGCTGAAAGTCAGATGGAAAGGTGCCCTGGTTCTTAGAGTACAGCAGCAAAAGAGATGGTAGTGCTATAGACTTGGTGATGTCAAGATGGAGAATAGTGACGACTGTAACAATAGGTAACATTTCTATAGAGCTTTAAGGTTTGCGGAGTGCTTTACCTATGTTAGAGCATTGGATCTTTACAACAACCCTGTGAAATAGTTGCTGTTATTATCCCCATTTTACAGATGAGAAAGCTGAGCTTCACGGAACTTAAATAACTTGCTTCAGGGTTACACAGCTAGGAAGTATCTGAGCAGGATTCAAACTCAGGTCTTCTGGACTTCAGGTCTAGCACTTGGTACACTATGCTGCCTAGTCCTTCATGGTTCACTGGATCTTATAACTCATGATGGGTCATTTATCAGTGATGGTACATGGAGGAACAACTTTCTCTATTGTCATGGGTGTTCGTTATTTTTTAAGCAGCTAGCATAAAGAATGCTGTGTAATTCTCTGCCCTCAAAACATGCTTGTTACCTTCCCTGTTAATTAACTATAGAGCAGAACATACAAAAGATAGCATTCTTTCTTTTTTTTTAGGCGATTGGGGTTAAGTGACTTGCCCAGGGTCACACAGCTAGTAAGTGTCAAGTGTTTGGTCTGAGGCCAGATTTGAACCCAGGTCCTCCTGACTTCAGGGCCGGTGCTCTATCCACTGCGCCACCTAGCTGCCCCGATAGCACTCTTTCAAATGACTGATATTGATGAGGTACGTCCAGCGCCTTTGCATTTGGGTGTTACCCATATCTATCTGCTTGCATCACGATGATCCCTTGCTTTTTATAAAATGCTGAGTACTCAAGGTAGAAATTATGTCCCTTTTACAAGTCTTACTTGTGTCCCACTTTCTGGATCACCACAATGACTTTTTCCATCACAGGGAGAAAAACTAGTTGTCAGTTTTTTGTTGACTTTTGGTCATCTTACATAAATTTTGGTATCCTGTGGAGCATATTAGGTGGAGGAAGTCTCCATTGGGAGGATTTGTATTAGGATTCCCATTTTTGGGAAGGTTCATGGAAAGAGTCAGATTGGTCTGCTACACAAGTGAGACCTAGCAAGAGTCAGAGTGTTTTTCTTAAGAGGCTCATAGTTTGCAGATATGGGAGTGGTATTTAGTTGGTGAGGGTAATTTATAGGAATGAAACATGAATTTCCTTATAATTAAAAATAAATATCAGTGACCACCACTTCACCTTATACCCCTAGCAGATGGAAGGGTAGGAGGAGAGTTAGGATAGAAGGAAGCTAGAGGTGAGATTGAGAGAGAGAGACCAGGTAAGAAACTGTTCAGGGTCAAAGCTGTGCCATGGCAACATTACTTCAGAAATATTCACAATTCCAAGGCATCTGCTACCTACCTACCTTAGTCTGAGTCAGTGGGGCTCTTCTGTTTACCTCATAAGCTAGCATAGTTGTCCTCAGTTACAATATGTCAGGTGTCCTAGACAGAACACATGATTGGGGTCCTATAAAAGCTGGTGCTTTAAAAAAAGTGAGACATACACACAATACTCATTTTTTTCTTCTTGTTAAAAATGTCCAATTTTACATTTCTTTTTTCTTTCCCTTCCCCTCAAAAAAGGTGAATTTTGAAATTTTCTGAATGCTATTTGGCTCATTACAGCATTTTTCAGTCCTGCCAACAAAATTTATAGTTCCATAGCAGTTCCAGTAGCCTGGGAATTGATTTATCCGTGGGATTAGGAAGGCATGTTTTAAGAGCAATCTTTTCAGGAATTTGTAATGACTGTGAATGAGGATTATAAAATAACCTTATGATACTGAAAATTCTTTTTCTTTGACCAGGCTAAGAGTAAAATCTTTTACTTCTGCTGTGTTTTGTTGTTTGGGCAAGGTGCAGATACCAATTTGAGTTAAAGAGGGATCTTCTGAATTGAGTCAGTCTACATATTCTGCTTAGAAAGTGGTTTAAGATTAATAGTAAAGAAAGGCTTTAAGGTCACATTCCTTTCTCATCTTGGCTATCACCACAGTCTTGTACCTCTCTGGCTCACTTCTCACTGTATTAATTATTATTTTTCACTCTTTGTCTCCTGGAGACAGCTCTGGCTTCCTCTTTTGTTTACAGCCATTGGCATGAGTCATCCCTTCATGGTGAATATTGCAGAATCACATATCCCATTCCAGTCTAATTTGTATACTTGCCAAGTCTATGCCAGCAGCAAGCCTTGTTTTTTGACTCTCATTATGGTCAGAGTAGACAAACTTCAGTAAGTTAATTAAGGGACTAGGGAGGTGAGAAGGGAATTGAATAGCATAATTATTCCTATATCTTTTGTTACATACAGTATGTGTTTTGGAAGGCCTATCAACCTGTACCAAATGTATTATCTTGGGGGTCTTCTGGGGAATTTGGAAATTCCTCTGAACCCATTTTGTGATGAATTTGTACACATGTGGGCATTCATTTAATTCGCTTTGAAGAACCTTTATTTGAAAAACAAAATTTATGATTCTGGTTTACATGCAAACCTATAGTATATGTATATCTTAAGAGAAGTCTGTAGAAATCTAGAAATTTGACTTTTTCTTTTGTAACTTAGGGTTTTTATTTTTAAAAGTCATCTCCCCTCCCTCACCTCCACATTTGCCTCGGAAAATATCCCAATTCAACTCCTATGTGGAAATTCATTTTGATTTGGAAACTTATAGGGTTTTTTCCCAGGGCATTTGTGTATTTGCCCCTTCTTATTGTCATTTGAATTTCTTTCACTGAATTAAATTAGGCACTATGATATGTGACTCAGGGTGTTGAAAATGGGTTTGCACTAAACAGAAGGGAAGGGTGGAAAACCAGTCTTCTAAGCAGAATGGTTCTAGTGCATTTTATGGTGTAGATGAGCCAGCCAGTCTCATCTTGGCAAGGCAGCCTTGGGTAAAGAGTAGATGGATTTGTGCAGTTTGGCCTTAGATTCTAAACACTAAGATTGCTAGAGCACATTTCAGCATAAGGGAACTTAGTCAAAATGGCCAGCTGAATAAAATCACCAATTTGAGAACTGAAATAAATTTGTTTGGAGCCTTTTTGGGGTGAACAGGAGGTGTAGACCTATAGGGTCTGTGTGGGATGAAAAAGATTGTAAAAACTCCAAAGTACCTGCTACATGGAAAGAAGAATGAGTGAAAGCAACAATTAGGCATTTCTCCATGCTTCTTACCAGTCTAGAAAAGAAGCACAAACTCAAGATGTGTAGGGGGTGGGGGATAAGAGGTTGAGTCTTCTAAAAGCCTCCATCAAAAAATATTTACTGCCCAAATAAAGTAACGAAGGGATACAATATCTGTCTGAAAGAAAGTGAATGTTTGTCTTTGGAAATCCACTTTTATTTGAAATCCAGATATCTGATAACTGCTAGGGATGTGAAGTTTGGACAGACTAATGCTCAGTTCATTTTAGACATTGTAAAGTACACACGTTTGCAAACCTTAGAAACCTCATGAGCATGTGCGTGGCACCACATGCAGTTGTGTGTACAATACAACCCCCAAGTAAATGCTGCAGAGCTGAAACTTGCCCTAGGCAAGGGCATTGGAAGAATCCCAGGGACTTCAGTCCACTGTGAAGGAGAGAGGAACACCTGTGACAACACAGGATGTCAGGTGCTTTGAGATGCTAGCAAGAGGAAGAGAAACTGAGCCATCCAAGATGGTCCTCGAAACTTGTAGAAGCACCATTCATCTTTCTGCTTGGTATCTCAGAGTGAAAATAAGGAGTTTGGGTTGAAGCAGCTGAAGTTTGAGATTACTTATAAACTTCTATGAGAGGCCAGTCTTAACTTTTGTAATGAATGTCACGATCAATCTGCCCGTATTTTTACTCTCCTACCAGCTTAGTTTATTCCTCATCCTATCCCTTGTGCAGTCCTTCCTCTTTCCTTCCTGACAGCCCAGGGCATCAGTGGTAGCTTTAAGTAGGGAGGGGAAGTAGAGATTAAATGCTCTCTTAGCCCCAAATGACCGAAGGGGCCTCTTCCCTTTCATCCTAGCTTTTTTTGTTGTTATTTAAACTCTCTTCATGTGAATGGATACTGAATGGGCTATACCAAAAACTGTTCTTACTAGGAGAATGAGGTGGAAAACTGACAGATCATATGTTTAGGGCAGCCAGATTCTGGCTTCAGTTTAGGAGCACAATTAGGAATAGAGTGGTGTTGATCTGGTCCCCTTCCGCTTTCCAGGAAGTGGACGTTGTGGTTTTGCCGTGCCGTGGGTTCCAGCCCCCAGTGGATACTCTAGGCGAGTTAGTGAATGGTGTCCTGCCTGTGGTGATCTTTGCCATCAACAAGGATGAACTCTCAGAAGGAGATGAGGAAGAACTGAGAGCTATCCGGGAACGGCTTTCTCTGCCTATATTCTTTTTCAAAGTGCCGAAGCTGGGCTCTGAGCTGATTTCCCCCAACTCTTCCCCCAAGAGAAGAATGGAGACTGAAAGATCATCACTTCACCGACAGCTAGTTGATCTGAACTACCTGAATGATAGTCACCATAACTGTGGGACCCTTGGCCTAAATGCCAAAGCTCAGAGCATATTGGTAGAACAGAGTGATAAGCTAAGACAATTGAACATATTCACTCAGCTGGTGCTACAAACGCACCTTGTAGATGCAGCCACGGTTCTGAACCTGGTGCACTGCCAGTGCCTGGATATCTTTATCAACCAGGCCTTTGACATGCAACGGGACCTGCAGATCACTCCCAAGCGGCTCGAGTACACTCGAAAGAAGGAAAATGAGTTGTATGAATCACTGATGAACATTGCCAACCGCAAGCAGGAGGAGATGAAGGATATGATTGTGGAGACTCTTAATATCATGAAGGAAGACCTTCTGGAAGATGCTGCCAACATGGAGTTCAAAGGTAGGTTTCTGAGTGATGGCCAGGGAGCTCTGTAGGAGGCCGGATGTAGTAGGTCTTCTGACCCTTTTCTTGAATTTGTAGAAACTGAGCTTATACATTTGTAGAACTAAAAGGGATCATTTGGTCAACTTTTCCTTCCCCTTGCTCTCAGGGATACTGCATTTAATAACTAGTGAGATGAATATGTTTGCCTCCTGAAAGATCTCTCCAGAAAGTTGCACAACTATGTGTAGTCAGACATTTGTCTAAGTATTGGGAAATTCTTCTTAACATCTAGCCTTAGTTTGTAGTATAAACCTTGTTTAGTCAGTCCCCAGTGGAAATCGAGGATGGCTGCTCACTACTCTCCATATAATAACTCTTCCTGTGTTTGAAGACTGTTATCAGTTGACTACTCAGCCTTCTCCAGTATATCGCAGGCTTTCTTATTCTTCCTGCCTTTTAACTTTCAGCTTCATGCCTTACCAAGGCCTCCTCCCTAAATCCCACCCCCAAGACGATATCCCAGACCAGCATTTTAAACTTCGTTTCTTTTCCCATTCCTTTTGAATATTAATCAAATTGGATGAAAGTCCTAAGGCATTGGGGTTGTAAAATGTGTTGCTTACGTTGGCTATGCGGTTTACATGTTTTACATGGCGTGGTGGGTGGTAGTCCGCAGATAACATAGGCTCTATTTAATCCTAGTTAAAGAGGAGTGACACAAAATTCCACTTCATAATATTTTAATGAAGTGAATTCTTCCCATTAAATCTCTATAAAGATTGGCTAGTTGGAATCTTTTTGTTATTAAATAAGATATTTAGTGATTTGCAAACCTTACAACACTATGTTAAGTGTTATTGTATTATTTATTATCATTGTCGTCATTATTCTATGACCACAGACTACGCTCTTAGCTCTAGCTTGGTATCTTGCCAATATGTCCTGTTATTAATAGCAGATGTATATTGACTGGTTGATTGAATTTGTCAAGGGAGTGTGGATAGTTCATTATAGGCTTTCACCACTATAGTGGAAATAGTTTCATGTGTAACATTTACCAGTAATGTTTTGTGTATGTGGAGAATAGTGTATTATTCTGGGTCTGTCGTGTAAAGAGATGCCACACCTAAACTTAAGGAGTGTAGTTAGGCTAGGTTTCCTATAAGACTTTTCAGAGACAGCTAAAGGAGTGGCTCTTGTGGCAGAGGTACTGAGGCATGCTTAGGGGTGTAGGAAGGGGAGGCTAAGGTGATTAAAAGTAGTGTTCTAAATATTAACCCCCTTTCTTATCAAGATTCTGTCTCCTTTATGCCCTCTATAGAAAGAGCATTGAGTAAGTGGTGCAGTAGGAGGGTATATAATATCCCCAATTTCTTGGCCTCTAGTTATATTAATAGTCTTCATGCTTCATGTCTGGAGTTGTTCTGTCTACCACCCAGGTGTTCCTGTAACCACTGTCAGTGTAAATTCTTTGGAACTTTTGACGTAGGTGACCCTTTTATTCAATATGCCTTTGCCTCTCCCCCATCTGCTGACTCGCTCCCATCCTTACCTCCTACAGATGTCATCATCCCTGAGAATGGGGAGCCAGTGGGCACCAGAGAAATAAAATGCTGCATCCGCCAGATTCAGGAACTCATCATCTCTCAGCTTAACCAGGCTGTGGCCAATAAGCTGATCAGCTCAGTGGACTATCTTCGTGAGAGCTTTGTGGGAACCCTGGAACGGTGTCTGCAGAGCCTGGAAAAGTCCCAAGATGTTTCAGTCCACATCACTAGTAACTATCTCAAACAGGTATCTAAAAGAATGATTTTTAAAAAGAAAGGTTGGTGACAAATGAAACAGCATTCACACCTAAGTCCGAAACTTACAGCGACAAGCTTTTCTTTTACCCAATCCATTTCCCCAGAATGACTAACACCTCTAACTTGAGTGTCATTTTCTCCCATCCGTATGTCTACCGCCTAGGGGAGGTGTTTATAAGCATTAAAATGGCAGCCTGGTAGAAAGGGGGAAGAGGGAAGAAGCTCTGGGGCTGTTAAACCCTCATATGAGATGACCAGTTTTGGAATATTGGAGCATTGACCTTGTTTTTATTAAATTGGCATAAAGGACAAACTTGAGGACCCTGAGGCTAGGGCATGCTCTTGAAGCAAGGATCTTTATTTCCTTTTCTGAAACAGATATTTCATTCAGGTCAAGGTGACTTGGCAGTCTGTGTTCTCTTTCAGATCTTAAATGCTGCCTATCATGTTGAAGTTACATTTCACTCAGGGTCAACAGTAACCAGGATGCTGTGGGAGCAGATCAAACAGGTACGAGTGACTGACTGGATCACAGGAGCATAGATTTAAAGTTTGAACTTATAGGTCACATGGGCCAAAACCCCTCACTTAACAGGCAAGGAAACTGAGGCCCAGGGACGATAAATGATCTGCCCAAATTCACAGGTAGTCATTGGTCGAGCTGGGATTCAACCCGGGCATTGTTTATTCCAAATCCAGCTTGTTATGGTTTAGTCATTATTCAGTTATACCTGATTTTCTTGGCAGAGATACTAGAGTGGTTTGCCATTTCCTTCTCCAGCACATTTTACAGATGAGGAAACTGAGGCAAACTAGGTGAAGTGACTTGCCCAGGGTCACACAGCTAGTAATGTCTGAGGCCAGGTTTGAACTCAGCAAGATGAGCTTTCTGACTCCAGGCCCAGCACTCTATCCACCGCACCACCTAGATGCTTTCTGTTAAAATGATATCCACTAGAGGACTCGCTCAGGTCTCCAGGATCTTTCTCTGATCAAGGCAACCACAGACCTCTGCTCTTTCCCACTAGATCGCCCTTTCCCACCAACTACATATTTTTCTTGCCTGGGCTCTGTTGTGTCACCTGAAATAGTGGGTGTGGTCTCTGCTATAGAACTTAGGCCAGCTGTTAGTCTTTGAACTCCAGAGTGATGCTTCATCCGCCACACCTCATACTTGATGGGACTGAATGGATTTTTCCTGGGACTTATGAGCTTGGAGGCTAAACTCTCACATTCTCTTAAGATTCCTTCTTGGTTGGTGTCCCCAATTTTAGTCCTACCTATTCTGTATTGTTAAGAATTAGAGTCCCAAATCTCACATGAGTCCTTGTTTTTTGGTGCCTTCTTTTATTGGCATTGGGTCTTCCTGCAGCTTTTGTATATTATCTGGTCTTGATCTCACTGCCTGTCTTAACAGATTATCCAGCGAATCGCATGGGTGAGTCCACCTGCTGTTACTCCAGAATGGAAGAGGAAGGTGGCCCAGGATGCCATTGAGAGTCTCAGTGCCTCCAAGCTGGCCAAGAGCATTTGCAGCCAGTTCCGGACCCGGCTTAATAGCTCTCATGAGGCATTTGCAGCCTCCCTGCGGCAGGTGGGCCTATGGAGGAGGTGATGCAGTTGTTTCAGAGAGAGTGATGCCTCTGTCAGTTTGTATTGGTTTGACTTTGTTGTACTCGGAAATTTGTGTATCTGTTTGCTTTTAAATTATATAAATGTGTTCTATTGATGCCCTTTATAAAACATTACTCTTGCTCCCTGATAACTTTCCTAGCCCTTCAATAGAACCCTTCCTTGTAATAAAAACATACAGTTAAGTAAAACAAGTCAACTCAATGGCTATGATAGCCCATGCCTCATTCTGCACCTGTCACTTGTCATCTCTTAGCCAAGAGGCAGGAAGAATGCTTCGATCCTCTGAAGTCCTAATTGGTGTGTTTATTTTCCACATGTGTATTTGTTTAAACCCAATTCATGGGGAGGGAGAAGCTCAAATGATTTCCCCTGTTTCACAGACTGAGCAACAGAAAAGTCAAGATGGGGACAGGACCATATCTGAGTCACAGAGCATTCTAGGTGCTGTGTCATAGAAGGAGCATAGATTTTGAGCTAGAAAAGACCTTAGAGATGATTTAGTCCAATTCCTTTGTTTTGAAGATGTGGAAGGAAGAAAGCAAAGAAGGAAGAAATGAAGGCATGAAGAAAGAAAACAAACATTTACTAAGTGCCTACTAAGTGTCAGGCACTGTGTTAAGTGCTTTACAAATATTATCTCATTTGATCCTCACAACCATCTTGGGAGGTAGGTGCTATTATCCCCATTTTACTGATGAGGAAACTGAGACAGAGGTTAAGTTAATTTGCCCAGGGTTACACAGCTAGTAAATATCTGAGGCCAGAATTGAACTCGGGGCTTCCTGACTCCAGGTCCAGTGCTCTATCAGCTGTCCCACCAGCTGCCTCAGACAGTAGGGAGAGCTAGTGATAGATAGGGCTGGAAGAGAGACCTTTGATGACATTCAGTTATCAAAATCCCCTTATTTTACATATGAGGAAACACAGAAAGGGTAAGTGACTTTTCCAAAGTCATACAGGTAGCAGAGGCAGGTTTTAAACAAAGGTCCTCAGACATGCAATCTAACCCGGGAGCCAGGTATCCTGGCTCGCCACAGCTTTGTCGCATCTTCTTGTTCTTTCACGGGGAGAGGAGGGTTATGATTGGAGTTGCCTTTAACCAGACTTCTGGGCAGTTAGGTCATGGTCATGTCTCTCCTGTTTACTCTCTAGTTGGAAGCTGGTCATTCAGGCCGGCTAGAGAAAACTGAAGACCTGTGGTTGAAGGTTCGGAAAGATCATGCCCCACGCTTGGCCCGTCTTTCCCTGGAGAGCCGTTCCCTGCAGGATGTCTTGTTGCATCGTGAGTCTCTGTCATTTCCCCTGGGCAGGAGAGAAGAAGGGGCTGGATACCAGCTAATTCTGTCTTAATCCTGGTGGAAATACCAATCACAGAGATCTCTAGGAATTCTTTTCCATCCTTGTAAATCAGTGTGAGGCATTAATTCAGTTTTAATAACTACTGAAGTTCCTCATTTGGATCTGCCATTTGTACGACCCAGATAGCACCAACATGTATCAACTAAACCAGATAGATCACTTCCAAAGGTCTTGGAGTGACATCAGTTATGTTTTCCTCATAGATATAGTTCTCCACTAAGTAGGCACTCAGAGAGAGAGCTCATTGAGCCCTAGCCATCATTTGTCTCTGTGCCTTGTAGGTAAACCTAAACTGGGCCAGGAGCTAGGCCGGGGACAGTATGGTGTGGTGTACCTGTGTGACAACTGGGGAGGCCATTTCCCCTGTGCCCTGAAGTCCGTTGTCCCTCCAGATGAGAAGCACTGGAACGATTTGGCATTGGAGTTTCACTATATGAGGTGAATCGTGGTTCTGTCTGGGCAAGGATGCATCAAAGCAGCCAGAGGTCTGGCTTAAGTTCTGTACCCTAAGCATAGGGGATGTCTGCTGGTGTCCTTTCTCTGCATTTCTCAGTGCTGGGTTGTTGTAGACTAGTGCTTAAAACTGGACTCCCTCCAAGGCCAAGGCTGCTTTGGTAGCCTAAACCCCTTCCTGTTCCAATTTCCTTTCCCTGTCTTTCTGTGTTACCTTCCTCCTTGGTCACAGAGGCTCAGCTATTTTAAGGTTCCTGGCCTGGGAAGTGGGTCAGATTTCTGTCCTGTGGCCCGATCTAGAGGTCCTTTCTTCCCTGAGTCCTGGCATGCCTTACAGGAATGGGGCATGTGGTTTGCAGCCCAGACCCCTCTCCCTCCTACCAGGTCTCTGCCCAAGCATGAGCGTCTGGTGGATCTTCACGGTTCCGTCATCGACTACAACTACGGCGGTGGCTCCAGTATTGCAGTGCTGCTCATCATGGAGCGGCTACACCGGGACCTTTACACAGGGCTGAAGGTGAGGGCAGGGAGATAACACAGGCCAGCCTGACTACTAAATTCACAGCTTTCCTTACTCTTCTTCCTTTTCTTCTTAGAGCTTCCAGGTTTTCACAAAATGTTGTTAGTTTCTTTGATTCCCTTGTTGCTTGATTCCAAGAGACCTTCTTGGATATTTTAATCTCAAGATAGTTCCTTGCTATAGGATATATTTAGTATATCTAGACTACTGTCATCTATAATTTTAACTTTCCATGGTGGTAGTAAAGTCCAGACTCCTTAGTGTAATACAAAGTCTTCTCATAACCCTCCTGCTTCTAAGGTTCTTAGTAGGTAGGTGAGTGGCTCTTTGTTCAGTCAAAAAACGTTTATTGAGCACCTACTATGTATAAAATACTTTGCTTTTTGTTTACCATCTGACTTTCACCCATATAACTCTTCTGAATGTGCTTTCCCAAAGGATACTAGTAAATTCCTAATTACCCTGTCCAATTACTTGTTCTTGAAACTGTTGATGAGCCTTTTCTTTTTGAACCTCTTTCTTTCATTGGCCACTTCATCTCTCTTTACACTATTCTTTATGGATCTCTCATCGCTTTAGCTGTTGCATTTATGCAGATGATTCTCAGATCTTTATCTTCAACCCTGGCAGCTCTCCTGAGCACTTGTCCTAGTTTTCCAGTTGTCTGCAGGACATTTCCACCTGGATATGTATCTGGTACTTTGTACTTAAGTCCAAGACTGACATCATTGTCTTCCCTCTCAAAACCAACTCCTCCTTAACTGCTATTTCTAAGTATAACTATAATCTAAGTTATCCAAATTCAAAACCTTAGTCATCTTTGACTCCTTCCTCTCCTTCATCCTCCACATCAGATTATTTGTCAAGTGCCACGGAGTCTGCTGTTGTCAATGTCTCTATTATCCACCTTCATCCTTCCATTCTCAGAACTATCACTGTAGTTGAGACCCTTGTTACATCTTACCTAAATTGTTTCAGTAGCCTCCTAACTGGCCTTCCTACCTCCAGTCTCTCCCCCTTCCAGTATAACCTATATGCAACTACTAGGTTAGCTTTCCTAAAGCAAAGCTCTGGTCCTTTGACCTCCCTGATTAAAACCAAACCACCCTTCAGTGTCTCTCCATTGCCTGTTGCATAACGTTTAAATTTCTCAGCCTGGCATGCAGTTTGCAGTTTGGCTTTAACCAACCTTTGTGGTCTTATCTCTCTGTACACCCTTGCCTTCCCATGCCCTATACACTAGCCAGATTAGACTCTTCACTTTTTAACACAAATGTGCTTTCTTTATGCTGCTTCCTCTGTCTGAAATGCTCCTCTACCCCTTCCCCTCCCAATTTCTGCTTATGGAAATTCTGTACATCTTTCAAGGCCCACTCAAATACCACTTCCTGATTCCCTCAGCCAGATGTGCTTTCTCCCTCCTTTGAACACTCATAACTCTTTGTGTCCCTTTAATGGAATTAATCTTCCATTCTGCCTTGTGTTTCAGTTATCTGTCATCCTCTTTTCCATTTTTTAAGATCTTTCATAAGAGCAGGAACCACACCTTTCTTGCCATATTTGTTCCCCATGGTGCCATGCTTAGAGTAGGTTACTTAATAAATATTTGTGGCATTGTGGGGCATATAAAGACATAACACAGAATGTATACTATACCATAGGAAAAGATAATTAAAAATACAAACCACTATATGATTGAGAGAGAGAAGTGATATTAGACTCTAAGAACATGTGAGAATGTGGTTTGCAGGCCAGACCTTTCTCCCTCCTACCAGATTTCTGCCCAAGAATGAGCTGGGGTAGACAAAGAAAACTTCATAATGTAGGTAGGTCTAAGCTGGCCCTTAAAGGATGGGCAAGATTTGGATAGGCAGAGAGATGTCTAGGAGAAGGATGCTCCGAGCAGGAGGAATAGTGATCCAAGAAGAACTGTCCAGAGTTTGTTGGGGAGGGGGGGAGCAGTGAATAGACAAATCAGACTGAAGCAAGGGGTTTGTTTAGTGAAATAGTAGGAGATAGGTACGAAAGATACACTGGGAATCACTGATGGAGGCCTTGAATATCACGCTAAGAAATAGTCTTTTTAACCTTTGAAGGTTTTTGAATGACAGACAGAAGTTATACAGCTAAGCTTTGAGTTAGATGGTGAATTTCCTTTGTCCAAAGCAGCAGCAATAAAGGGAAGGGCGTAGCTTTTCTCAGTCTGCCTGCAGAGAAGTTCCCCTTCCCTCTATGGTGGGAGCCACAGAGCATCTCGGTGGGCCCCCTCCCACTGAATCCACCTGGTGCCTGGCATAGGGAGGCCTCAGCAGCAGGCCAGGAGGAAATGTAGAAACGCTACACCGGGAACTTTGTGAGACATGAAGCTCATCATTGGTTTAATGCGAGAATAATTCTCAGTGACTTTTTTCCTCCATTCCTGAGAAGCTAAGATTAGTTCCCATCATCCATTCTGGTATGGGTCCATAACAGAGAGCTTCATTAGTACTTCATGGTGGGTGATGTTACGTCTGTTACAATGTAGAGAGTCCTGGTCAAAGCTTTATGGACTTTTGGGCATTTGTAACCCACAAAACCGAATCTGGGTCAGGTGTGGTAGAATGAGCCCCTTATGTGTAGCAGTAAGACGAAATCTGTTTGAGAGATGTCGAAATGCTTACAGTTAGGGCTGAAGGGCAGTTCTGTTGTTGATGCAGGTTCCCTTCTTGGTCCAGGTCTTGTCAATGAGACCATCCCTTCAATCTTTTGGTTGTACCTAGTCCTAGCCAAACATGGGGATTGTCTAGCTTACCTCATTGTGACTCCCAAGAGATTTGATTAGTACTTGTCTTTTTTAAAGTTTCCTGTTCCTTGCTTTACTCCTCTCCTTTTCGATAGATCCCCAGCCTTTATTTCATATTTCTCTCTTTCTATACTGGAGTACATTTGTCTCTTTGATAACCCCACTGAAGGTGTCTTCATCATTTATGTGAACATCCAAGAAGTGGGGGAGTTATCCTGAAGATTACAGGTGAATTTTGTTGTCTCTCACAGGCTGGGCTGATTCTGGAGCTGCGCCTGCAGATAGCCCTGGACGTAGTGGAGGGAATCCGCTTTCTGCATAGCCAGGGGCTTGTCCATCGTGACATCAAACTAAAAAATGTGCTGGTAAGGGCTGTTCCTAGGACACTTGCTCTTTGGGCTAAAGGGCCTGAGAGAAGGAATTTGGGTGGGAGAATTGAAGCGGAGGGGTGATGGGCACGCTAACCACCAAGCTAGATCTTGGTCTTGGGGAACGGGGAGTATCCGAGTAGGGAGAATCCAAGCTGTTTTCACTGTGCCTCAGGCCTGGCCTGTTCTGCCTTGGCTGGAAATGGAAATTGTGCTCAAAGAGGGATGAAATAGATCTAGGTAGCTTAGCAGGCAAAAACAGTTATAACTTTGCTTCAACCTTGTTATCTCAATTATAAAGAATTATTTTTTGATTCATTCTTCTTTGAAAGGAGTTTTGATATTTCATCATCAGGGCCATATATTTCTGGCGACTCGTGGTATAGAAATAGCAGCTATTTGGAGGAGAGGTCCTCAAAATTTCTTAAAGTGTAGCCTTATCCCTAGGAAATTCCCAGTCAGCTAAGCTGTGAGACTCAGTCTTTTTTTGGATTTTTTTGTTTGTTTGTTTGTTTGTTTTTGGCTAGGCATTGGGGTTAAGTGACTTGCCCACGGTCACACAGCTAGTAAGTGTTATGTGTCTGAAGGCAGATTTGAACTCAGGTCTTCCTGAATCCAGGGCCGGTGCTCTATCCACTGCGCCACCAAGCTGCCCCCTTTTTTGGATTTTTAAGGGAGAAAGCTACTGGGACTCTTAAGACTCTTTGCCCAAGTGATCAGGGAGCCTCCTCTTGCCTTAATCATCAGACTTGTGGTATATATTTTGGGGCTTGAGAGGGCAGTTAGGATCAGAAATGCTTCTCCAGATGAACATGTTTTGTGAGTGAATGTGAAGTCCAGGATAATCAGAAGACAAAAATCAACGATTTAAGTAAACTAATGTTATTTTCTTTTTTTGATAGGGTCATGAAACTAGTAAATCAGGAGAATGTTGTAGCTATGATTTATACAAATTTTAGCAAAGTATTTGATCAAGTCTTTAATGCTGTTGTGGAAAAAATAGACATCATAGCATAGTTAAGTGAATTCAAATTTTGAATGGCTGAACCCAAAGAGTGTTATTAATGGTTCAGTGTAAATGGAGAATGATGGAGTACCCTAGGGATCTGTGCTTGGCCCTGCAACATTTCATCTTTATTAATGACTTGAATAAAAGCATAGATTGCATACTTGTTAAATTTTCAGGTGATAGTTGAAAGGGATAGTTAACCCAATGAATGACAGGATTCCAAAAGATCTTAATAGGCTAGACTATTGGGTCAGAATGAATGTCTTACCTTTGGGTAAGATACTTTACAAGTGAGTTAGGCAGCAGTTTATCTAAAAAAGATCTTGGAATTGATTCCAAGTTTAATATGAGTCACACAGTGTGATATGTAGGGCTGCCAAGAAAACCAGGACAATCTTAGGTTATACTGAGAGACACCTGCCTATCAGGAGGTGACCATCCTGTTGTTCCCTGCCCTGGTCCAATCACATCTAGACCACTGTGTTGAGTGTGGGGTACCACATCTTCAGAAGGACATTGAAAAACTAGAAACCATCCAGAGAAGGATAACCAGGGTGGCTGGGGAGGTGGGAGGGACGGACCTTCATTTCATATCATTTAAGGATTAGTTGAGGGGCAGCTAGGTGGTGAAGTGAATAGAGCATTGGTCCTGGATTCAGGAGGACCTGAGTTCAAATGCGGCCTCAGACACATAACACTTACTAGCTGTGTGACCCTGGGCAAGTCACTTAACCCCCATTGCCCAACCCCCCCAAAAAAATTTAAAAAAAAAAAGAATTAGTTAAAAGATTAAATGATGTTTAGCCTGGAAAAGAGGGAACATAAGAATTGTCTTCCAGTATTTGAAGGCTTCTTACACTTTTTCTCTTTGGCCCCACGAGCAAGGGATGAAAGGTAAAAAGAAGCAGATCTGAGCCTGATATAAGGAAAAACTTGATAACAATTAGACCTATCCAGAAACAGAATGTTGTGGGACGTAGTGGGTTTCTCCTTCATTAGAGGTTTCTAAGCAGAGACTAAATGAACACATTGGGTGTGTTGCAGAGGGAATTTTTTTCAGGTGTATATTGAGCCAGATGGTCACTGTGATTCTTTCTAACTGTGAAATTCTGAGATAACTAAAATCCAGGATATAGGTCCTCTTTGCAAGAGGTTGGGAGGAGAAGAGTGTTCTCACTTGACTGTTGCCTTGCTTTGTTTGCAGCTTGACAAGAAGAACCGAGCCAAGATCACTGACCTGGGTTTTTGCAAGCCTGAGGCTATGATGTCTGGCAGCATCGTGGGTACCCCAATCCATATGGCCCCAGAGCTCTTCACAGGTGAGGCTGGTGGCGATAATGGGGTTTAGGACATGGTTCAGCAACTTTCTTAGCTATGAGTACCACCAAAAGAGCTAAGCCATACCCTTGAATACAGCTGACATGCCACAGACCTAGGTAAGGGAGAAGGAAGCAAGGGGAAGAGTAAAAGAAGGAGGAGGAAGAAGCTTTAGGAGAAGAGGAAGGAAGCAGAGAGAGAGAGAGGGAGAGAGAGAGAGAAGAGAGTATCAAGGGGAGGGCAATCATTAGGGCAACAGTATACCACCAATAGATGTTTCAGGTACCATTCTCAGATGCTGGTTTCAGACGCTGCTGATGCATAATCAGTGAATTGGTCATCAGGCATCATATTCAACACACATACTGTGTGCCCAGGATTGTGCATAGATGCTGTGGGGGAAGAAGACCAAGTATAAGCAATGCTCTCTGCCTTCAAAGAGCCTATAATCTGGCAAGAGAGACTGTGCTAAAATAGGTGAAATAATTAGTGACCAATAGAGAATGCCACAAATAAGGAAGTGCAAATGATGTATGTCATATTGTAATTGCTTCACAAGATTAGACAAGGGGGAGGCCTTATGGAGAAGGTAGAATCTGAGATGCACTTTGAAGGATGCATAAGAGTTTCTGAATGGCATAGGGGAAAAGGGAAGACATTTCCAGGTAGTTGGGATTAGGAACATTAATGACAGTAGAGTGACAAGGCTGGCTAGAGCAGTAGGTTCATTTTTGGAAAGTCCTGGGAAAACTATTCTCATTATGGAACTTTGAAATCCAGGCAGGACAGTGAAGGTTTTGTTTTGTTTTGTTTTTGAACAGAGGAGTGGCATAATAAAGTTCTGGGGTAGTGGAAAAAAATTAGACTGGAAGAAGGATGCCAAGATTCTTATCTTGGCTGTGCCAGCAACCGCCTGTATGACCTTGGCACAAATTCTCATACCTCTTTGTTTCCTCCCATGTAAAGTGGAAGGGTTAAACAAGATGATCTCTGAGGTTCCATATCCCCATCCCTAGTCGGGCTCTAATATTCTCTGATTATGTGAGAGGTTTGTAGAGGATTAATTTTTTTTAAAGCAATACGTATTGTGCAACATGTTTTTATTAATATGTAATGTGGATTAGAAGAGAGACAAGCTAGGGAGGTTATTATAGAAATAAAAGTATGAGGATTGGCTTGGTGGTGGTTGAAATGGTGAAAGGACACATTTGGGATAATTTTATTTTTTATTTTTTACATTTGGGATAATTGTAAAGGAAGAGAGGACAGGACTTGGTGACTGCTGGATATGGAGAAAGAAGGATGATTCAGAGTTGACTCTATAGTTTTGAGCCCGGATGCCTAGGACAGGAAAACTGGAAGGGGGGACCCGAAGTTAGAGTTTCCTTTAGTTGGCATCTCTCCCAGGATCTCGACCACAGCCGTTTACAAAGTGGAATAATCCAAGGCTCAGCTGTCAAGAACAGCCCTGTGCCTTGCCTTGTCATTTCTTCCTTCAAAATGCCTCTTGAATTGGTCCTTTACTGTAGGTTTCCATTGTCACTATTTGAATCCAGGCCTTTGTAACTAGATTATTTTAACAGGAGTCTAGTTTCCATCCCTTGAGTAGATTTTAACTTTAGTCTTTTCTGCAGATTTCTGTCAAACTAATTCTTCTTTTTTTTTTTTAACATTTTTATGTAATTAATTTTCAATTAGCAATCATTTATTTTTTTTCTCTCCATCTCATCTCTGCCTCTCCTGTGGGGAAAAAAAAGAAAAAAATAAACCTTTGTAACAAATACGTGTAGTTAAGCAAAATGAATTGGCCGTGTGCAAAAATGTATGTCTCGTTCTACGTCCTGAGTCTATGACCTTTCTGACAGGAAGCAGATGGATAGCCTGCTTTATCATCTGTCCTCTGAAATCGTGGTTGGTCATTGCATTAGAGTTCTTAAACCTTTCAAAGTTGTTTGTCTTTGTAATGTTGTTATTGTATAAAATTGTTCTCCTTGTCTCATTTCACAAGACTAATTCTTCTAAAACAGCACTGCTCTAGAAACAACAATAGGTTGTTCACTAAATTAAAGCCAAACTGCTGTACCTGGCTTTCAATATCCTATACACCTGGCCCCATCCAACCTCATTTCCCATGACTTCTTAGTATATACTTTTTGTTCAGTGTGATTTTTTTTGTTCAGTTCAACTTTGGTTCCGCAAACTGAATTCATTCATTTATTGAAGAGAAATGTACCATTTTATTCAATTCTGTAAACTCAAAATTGGCATTTTACATGGAACAAAATATTTTATTTAGCAGTTTGTTTCTTTACAAAGAGCAAATTCTCTGTCTCAAAGACATTTTTATTCAATGGCACAGTTTGTTTGTTTGGAGAGGCAAGAGAGATGGTACAGTGCATAGTTTGGGAGCTAGAGTCAGGAAGACCTGTACCCGGATCCCACTTCCAGTTGTAGGTGTGTGACCCCAGAAGTCAGTCAACCTCATCGTCTCTCAGTTTTATCACCAACAAAATGAGGATGACAGCACTGATCTCCCAAGCCATTCTGAGGATCAAAAGAGATGGCATATCCACAAACATTTATAATATCTGTTATTTGCAGAGTACAGTGGTAGGTCCTGGGGGAGATTGAAAGCTGAGGTAGAAAAGGGTCTCTGTCCTCATTAGAGTTTACAGTCCACTTAGGGGATAAAACATATACTATTCGTTTAGTATGTAATATTGTAGTAAGCGATAACTATGGTACATAATAGCTGTTTTTTTTTAAAACATCTTAAAATGCTGCTAATTGTTAGGTATTTAAACCAATGTTTTTTCTAGCATTTTTTTTCCATTGTATCAGAACACACACTATTCATTCATTCTTTCCTCCATGCTTTTGTTCATTGTATTGTCTTTATTAAACTTCATTCCTGGTTGTTACTAATTATTGGTGTTCCTTTGTAAAGCCACTTAACTTTCATGATCCTTAGCTTCATCATCTGTGAAATGTAGATAATAAAAATCTGCCTCGGCAGCCTTATGGGGTTGTTGTCGCACTCAAAGTCGTAGATGTGAAAGGCCTCTGGGGAAAAAAAGGACAAAGTTCCATATAAATACACTGTGAGTTGTGAGTACACTGTATTGCTGTCCCACTCACTGGCTTACCTTTGCCCTCTCTTAATGTAGGGAAGTATGACAATTCTGTGGATGTCTATGCTTTTGGGATCCTCTTCTGGTATATCTGCTCAGGCTCTGTAAAGCTCCCTGAAGCATTTGAAAGGTGTGCCAGCAAGGACCACCTCTGGAACAATGTGCGCAGAGGTAGGAATGCCAAGCCCTGCCCATTTCATGTTTCCTTCTGCTGACCAGAGTGTGTGGGAGGAAGGATGCCTCAGGCTACTCTGTCTCCTGTACACCCTGAAACAGGAGTAAGCGGTGGCACCATTCTTAGAATTCCCATGCTGTGAGAGATCCATTTTCCTTTCTGTGAGGAATTTTGTATTTCACTCTCCCAGAAAAATGATGATCAATGTTTTTTTTCCCTAAACATACAGAAAAAGGAGTTCTCTCTCCTCCTGCATTATTCTAGTTTTTTTCTTATCTCCATTGTATAGTTTGTATCTAATATAAATCTTACAGCAACTTAAAAATAATCAACCCTCACTTTACTGTTTTTCATTTTGAACTCCAGTTGGATCAGTTGGGCACTGAAGCCATAGAAGATAGATGTCTTTCACTTGTAATTGCATTCCTACAGACTACCTCCGTTCTCACGTCCATGTTTCTTCTTTTCAGGAGCCCGTCCAGAGCGACTCCCAGTGTTTGATGAGGAATGCTGGCAGCTAATGGAAGCCTGTTGGGATGGTGATCCCTCCCGACGGCCTCTCCTTGGCATCGTTCAGCCCATGCTCCAGGGTATCATGGACCGGTTGTGCAAGTCAAACTCTGAGCAGCCAAGCAGAGGACTGGATGATTCTACTTGAAGGCTCTTTCCCTGTCTCATTCTCCCACCCTCTCTCTTCCTTTTTCTTCTGTTTTAAACTCCCTGGTCGTAGGAAGAACTTGGCATTGTATACATCCACAGGAAGCACCTGAGGGAACTGGTTTTGGCTGTGGAACTTGAGACAGCTTCAAACTATGATGACTTCAGTCAGCTGTGAGAAGTTGGATTGTTGTCCCACCGTCTTTGTCCATTCTGTGTTCACCAGTGATCCAAGCTATCTCTTTGGAAAAGAGACTAGTCATCTAGGTCACAGAAAAAAGCCGAGGAGTGGGAGATTTGGCCTTCAGAGCCAGCGCAAATCCCATCTCCTCATTTCTAAGTTCCATGAATTTTTCCAAAGTACTGGATGGGGTGTTATGATGTCATTAATATGAAGAGACATCATCTGGCTGACTTCTGTTCTATCAGGGTTAATTAGTCTGGTTCCATCCAGTGGTCAGAACAGAACCTCAGAAATGTCAAGTTTGGGTGATGGAGAGGAAAGGTGAGAGAGGGCCAGAGGGAGAAAGAGAATTCTGTAGAGATGTGTCTGGTTCCTGCTGACTGTAACTAGAGCTTTTTGCCTGCGATAGCATGAAGCCTCGAGTCTGTGTGGTGGCTGTAAATAAACTCAGCAGTGCTCTTTGCATTGCCAGATATGTTTACATTTGGGGAGAAGGTTTTACCCTTATACCACTTTGGTTTCCCCAAAGAATCCATTTAGTGAGTTATTAGGAGTTCCTGTTACTGTTGACCCCAGAGCCTGCAGGTGACATTTTGTTCTTTTGGTTTTGAAGCTAACTTCAGATAATAGTGATACTTGGGGGGGGGGTGGCTTGGAGGGTATCTGGGTAAACCTAACCCAGTTTAAAATGTTTGGGTGAGACCCAAGAAATAAGAAACACTCTGGAGGTCACTGGCTCTTATGGGGGTTACCTGTGTTCAGACCTCCTAGAAAGATAACCAGTTTGTGTTTTTAAATGTTTGAAAAACAAATCTTTCTTTTTATTTTTTGAACCTAACACACTGACATTTTAAAATCCTGCTTATTATCAGACATTTTAACTGAGCTTCCTTCTACTACCTGCTCTTCTTCTTCTCTCTCTCTTTTAAATATCATTTGCTAGGAGACAAAATAGTGGATGAGAAAGAAAAGAGCACTGTAGCAAGTCCATGAGTGTGCACAATTACTGCATGTATCTGTCTGATTGGGAGGGTCACTCCCCATTTTGCAGTTGGCAGTGGAACATAGAAATGTCCTTGGGGAGTTTTCACAGAGAGGAGGTCAAGGGGAAGAGACCCGGTTCTGGTATGTGAGGGATTCTATGGTCACCTCAGTTCTATTTAAATCTTGGTTTCAGGCTCTTCTGGACCTCAGTGTATCAGCTACCCGACTCTCTCTTTTAAATAAGAAGAGTAAAGAGGGAACAGAATTGACAGGGTTGGTTGGCTGGGATGAGAAGCTCCTTCCAGTCACTCACTTCCTGTGTCACAGCTGTAATCTACTTTGCTGTGTTCTGTTCCTAGAGTGTCTGGAATACATTGCAACCAGGATCCTTCAAGTTGAAAATACAGAATGAACGTCGCATTTGTTCCTGGAATTCTCTAGGTAGAAAGATTGTCTTGACTATTAACATACAACAAAAGGAGAATGTTAGAACCTAGAGTTTTGAAGTCTGGCCTGATTGACTCTTTAGCTATCCTGAGCAGGGGCTGCAGTGCCTAGCACCTCAGAAGTTCCAATTATAATCAAGAACTTTCAGTTGCAATTGAAGACATAGCCAACCATTTATCTTTGAGTCCTCAGGCATCTCATTTCTTGTAGTGGACTATCTAGTGCAGCTCTTCCTAGTTAAGAAAATGCCTTAGTACCTCAGCATCTGCTGTTACTCCAGGCTTACCCATATATTCTTGCCAGTATTAACTAGTTTTCTTTTTGGGCTCTGTAGGTACCAACATCTTTGTGGTAGAGGGAACCTAAGTGTCCAGTTAGGGAAGGTGAGGGTTTGTATTTATTCTCTTGGAAAGCAGAGAATGTACAGAAAAAGATTATAGTGCAGACATCCATTCTGTGTGGACTTTCAAAAACGTCTTGTACAGTTTCTGCCTTGTATCTATGTCCCCTTACATTTTAATCGGCTGTAATTAGAAGTGGTTTAAAAAATAAAAGTCTAGACCGAGTTTAGCATTCACAACACAGACACCCACAGCCTCTGATATCCTTAGCTCATAGCTACATGCACACATATCAGTGTACTCCTCCCCCATACACCAGAATTTTTGTTCAACCCTGTCTGTTAGTTTGGTCTCTTGATTAATGTTTCTTTTCTATAACACTCCTCTGTGTGTCTGTGTAAGTGTATGAATGAATATGCATTTATCTATGTGAATGTATCCATATGTATATGGTACATATCTACATACCTATAAATATATACACTTGTACATATATGTATATATATGTATACATTTTTTTCCCCCTGGGAGCCAGGGTGAGAGTGAGGACAAAAGAATCTGAGAAAAGCAAGGTGCACATTGTCCAGGCCAGAGTCTTGGGTGCTTGGAGGATTACTTTAAACACTCAGCAAGTTTACTATAGGAATGAATATGTTTGCTTTTGTTTTTCTGTGGTCAGCTGTGTTTCCTTATCTTCTGACATCACATTGTTGCTGAGGTGAATGAATGTCATGAATTGTATTGTACTGTATTATACTTCGGGAGACACTAGATTGTTCAACATCTCTTCCCTAATGCAATGCAATGGCCAGTCAAGTCTAGAGGATGGTATTTTGGCAGGTGTTGTGAAGATTGTATCTGGTCTTGGGTTATACAAATACCCAGCCTAGTGAGGACAGTTGTGGTTGGGGGAGGGAGGGAAGAAGAGAAACTCATGGAGAAATGGTTCTTTTCTATACTCTCTTCTAAATAAAGTAGCATAGCTAGTTAGCTTCAGCCTAAGAACACTCGCCTGACATTAAAAGATCAAGAGTCTTCTAAATCAGTTCAAAGTAAGGAATACTAAGAGGTTAGGAGTCTCAACTGATAACCTTGCTGATTCCCAGAAGCTCATTCAGACTACTGAAAGTTGAGGAATGTTTATAGAAGATAAGAAGATACCTGCTACACAAGAATATCCTTGCTCTCTTACTCACAGTACAGAGCAGCTTCCTTTCCTCAGTAAACCTTCTACTTCTTTGGAAGCCAGCCTCATTAGGAAGGTGCCAGCTGTTCAGAGACCATCCAAAGATGGGAGTCATTTTCTAAAATGTTATTTTCTAGGGAACCAAATGCTGTTCCCACATTGTTTTAAATTTCAGAATCTTAAATGTTTGAGGAATGGGAATGAAAATTGTCAGGCATAGAAGTTAGATGAGCTGCAGCCGTTGACTATGGTATTCGGTTCTTGGCTACATTTTAATGTCTTTGAGTAGGCCATCAGAGACCAAATGGACCACACTGCAGCTTTTAGAAAGGCTTTGTTTGCTTACAGGTAAAACAGGGTGACACAAGTGCAGAAGGGTGGTAGGTGCTCAGCATCTGATTGCTGTAAAGTTTATGGAACCCAAGGGTTATCACCCACACCGAGCAAAACTTTCTTCATTGGCTTATCGTTTTATATTTAGAAGCAGAAGAGGAACAGTGTTCCTTCTGGCATTTTTGAGAATAGTGATGCCCTTGTAGCCATTTCTTGGAGAGAACGGGTGGTTAGTATTTAATTTGATTTAGACATGGTGATGCCAAAGTCCTGCCTTATTAGTGTAGGGTCAGCAGCCCTCCTCTGGCCACTGAATAGCTGCTTTTCTATCTTTACTAATTTTTTTTTCCTTTTTGGTAGCTTAATTTCTAGATTTGCTGGGAAAACAACCTTTTACCTTTTCTAAAAATAAGAATATTTTTGCTGATTCCCAGTGGGTCTGGAGCTAGGGCTAGGGGAGAACTAGAGGAATTGGAAGTTCCCTCAGGACTTCAAGTAGTACTACTGCTCTTAAAGAGGTTTTATTTTTAAGTTCATTTATGTGCTTTGTTAACATCCAGTTCAATTCCAGTAATCACAGGGGCTCTGTGCGTATGTATGTGTGACACGCACCTGGTACTAAGGCCAGCTTGCCCAGAGCGCCAAGAAAAAAAATGGTGAAAACCGTTGTTGTGTGTCTTTGTGTAGAGCTTTTTGTTTGTCTTCGTCTTAATTTTAAAGGACTGATGTTTATTACAGTGTTAAAGGAAAATGTAACAAACTAAGTGTTTAGGATAAAAGTGCAATAACAAAAGAAGTTACTTTGGAACAGACTCCAGTTCTTATGACCTATTTTGTGCTACACCAAGTTCTTTTGATAACATTATTACTGCAGGTCAGATTGTTTTATTTTTAAGAGACGCGACTGTGGGTTAAGACTTCATTTAGTGTAATTTTGAACGGTCAGGTTTGGTTTTTATAGATTATTCTGTATACATGTTGGGAGACACCAAACACCAGATGTTCTGTATAATAAAGGTCACATTAATGTTTTAGATTTGCTTCTGTCTTGCCCTGATAGTCCCTTCTTGACTATGCTTGAACCCACTAGTAAGGTTTGGAGTAGCATCTTTCCCACTATCTCTTTGTGATATCTCTGGGCAGTCAGTCAATGCCCGCTAATCAAGGTTAGTGCTGGAGATACACATCCAAGTGAGTTAGTCCCTGCCTTTGAGGAAATGGCTTGTTTCCAAAGAAAAGACTCAGCCAGTGTTTCCCATCACCATTAGTTCTGGTTACTGCTCAATATTGGGTTTCATTCATTTAATAAGCATTTTGGTACCTACTTTGTGCAAATGACCTCATTAACATAGTGCTTTAGGGCTAAAAAACACTGAAAATATAGTCACCCCCCCCACTCCAATATGATTTTACAGATGGGCAAACAGAAGCATCGAGGGGCCAGCTGATTTAGGGCCTGATCGAGCCCTACTGGGCAAAAGTGAGTTGAGTTGTGTAAATTTTTTCTCTAGTGGCTTCCATGTTCAGTTCTTCCCCTCCTCTTTTTGGAACCAATTTTTCTTGCAACTTTACTATACACTCAACTCCCTAGGTTTTTTGAGAAAAGGAGTCTTTTTTTGCCAGGGTCCCAGGTTCCTCCCTGCATCCCCCCCCCCTTTGATGGGAAACTGCTCCTGGGGTAACCACATGATTTGCCAGCTCAGCTGACGTTTCTAGGCTATAACTGTGGCAGAGAAATAGGGTGGATAATCCCCTTGGGCTTTAAAAAAGTGGGTGCAACTTAAACTTTTTAAGGTCATTTTTTATAAAATGCATGTTTAGTTCCAGAAAATTCTTTTCTTCCTGGAATGGAGGCATTTCTGTTGTGATGGTATGTTACAGCCAGTTGGCAACATTTTTTTTTTTTACAGATGGAAAAAACTTTGATCACCACAGGCTTTTTTAAAAATTAAAAAAAAATAATTAAAATGTTTAAAAACTGACTCTTGACAAAAAGGTTAATTCCTCAGCTTAATGTAGTCAATGTAGAAAGGCCCTAAGTCTCCAATGATTTCTTGAGTAGAAGGTCAAGGCCATCACAGGCCTAGGTGGAAGGGAGTGCTTTTTCATGTCTGCCCTGGTATAAGAGCATAATTAAGAAGTTGCCTCAGACAGAATCAGATTTATGCATTGTTTTATTCACCATGAGCACAAAGCAGGAAACAAGTCTCCATGGTTAAATGTACTTCTTACACAATGTGGCCAAATTGTAAACTTTGTTAAGAGCGATACACTAAATTTGTGAAAGATAAAGTTGAAGCATACAGATTTACCACTTCATACTGTAGTTGGATTTCCACTTGAAAATGAAATATTTTAAAATGAAAAGATTTTAATCTGGTTAAATATTTTCAAGAGGAAGAATATTTGTAAACTATCTTCACTTACACATGAATTAAATTTGAGTCTCAAAGGTACCTATGACCTTAAGCTTGCCATCAAATTGACATTTAGGAAAGGGTAAAAAAAAAATGGCAGTATTAACAAATTATTTATGAAATGTTACCTTCATTTTCTGAATTCTTAAATGAATCAGACTTGGAAAATGAGAAACATCACAAGCATTATTTATGAACATTTAGTAATGTTTTCTTGCATATGCAATAATTACTGTCCATCAGGTGACTGGTGTTGGGAAAATTTTCAATTAGATACATTTGTAAATTACCAAAACATGATTTCATTTGTATACTACCCAAACAACAGCTTCAGGGTCACTGAAGAAGAAAATTTAGCAGAAATATCTTCAGATTGAAAATTGACTAATAACTTATTTTGATGATTAGAACTCATTTTGGGGAAAAAGTGAAGACAGAATATTCATCTCTCCAAAAAGACAATGTAAGTTTGACTCCCCTTCCCACTACATTGCAAAGCAGCATTTTTACCTGGACAGTAAGAAAATTAAAGCTTAGAAATTGGTTGGTGTTTGGTCCTGCTTTTGTAGTTACATGTTTAACTCCAAGGACAAAGAAATTAGTGGGTTCTCACTCAATAACAACAATCACACTGATTATCTTCAAAGATATTTCGCATAACATTTATGTATCTCTTTAAATATAGTCTTACTGTGAATTGGTTTTATTTCAATGCTGAAAATGAATGAAAAATTTCAGTTTTACTGTTTAGTGGATACACATTCCTGTATGATTTTAGTGGTCTCCAGGAAAAAGCAGAGATACTTTATAATAGGGGTAGCTCTGCCACCCCTGGACAGTAAACCAAAAGGTACAGTTCAAATGGCCTCCTCTTGGCTGTGGTTGTACCTCTAGGAATTCTTTATTCAGCCATTGAACTATGCTTCTGTCTCCATCTGCTCATTCTGGGTTTTGTCCTCAGCACTCAAATTTTCCAGGCTCTTCTCTCCAGCAACAGTTTCACTAGAAAACCAAACCAAAGACTTAGCTTTTCATATTTATTTATTTCTGAAGGGCAATGGTTCATAACCTTAATATCAAATCTTATGAATTCCCAACATGATAGTGATTTTATTAGTGTCTATGTTTTGAGGTACACTGTTGGAGAGAGAACCTCCAGCTTTAGCTTTAGGTGTTGGCCATGGAACAATTAGAGATTAAAGGCAATAATAGCTACCATCTTGCCAGTGGGAAGTCCCGGCACTTTTTCTTAAATAATGTTTTCAAATTACCCTACATTTATATTTTTGTCACATCCATTCTACTCTGAGAGGGCCCATTAATTCATAATCCCTATGTTAGATTTTTTTTGGGGGGGCGCGCGCACAATGCCTACAAAGTTCTAAATAGTCTGAGCTGGGACTCTTAGTTTCATACATTGACTTTTCTGGTAGTGGTTAATAAGCCCTTTGAGAACTGTATTCTAAAACATCCTAGTAACAGAGGGACTGTCACATGCACTGGAATGTATGAATTCTGGATGCATACCTACACACATAAACATCTCTTGTTCTCCCTAGGAAGAAGGGAATATTTTTTACATATGTATGCATACATTTTATAATTTCAATCTAATTAGAACAAAGTTTCAATCCAAGTCTCCTAGCTCTAAATCCAGTGCTCTTTCTATTCTAGGTAAAGATATCTTTCCCTTGGCTGTCCTCTCCAATTCTTGTGGTTGCATACAGAACTATTAAGCAGTTTTAAAAGTTAAATAATAGGAAATATATTAATAGTCCAACAAAGAGAAGGATGTCTTTGTTAAGAAAAGAAAGAGCTAGAGGAACTGCATTAAAATTTTGGCCCATTATCTGCTATCTGTATGACAGCAGCTGCCTAAGGAGGTAAATTCTCTGTGAAGAGAAATTGAATCAGCACTTGTCAAATTATGTGTGTTTGTAGAGGCAGTTAGGTGGCACAGTGACTACACTGCTGGGCCTGGAGTGGGGAAGACCTGAGTTCAAATCCAGCCTTAGATGTTTACCAGCTGTGTGTGGGCAAGTCATCTAACCTGTTTGTGTCATCTGTAAAATGGAGATAATGATAGCACCTACCTACCAGAGTGGTTGTGAGGATCAAATGAGATAACTGTAAAGTGCTTAGCACAGTGCCTAACACAAAGTAAGTAAATGCTATATAAATGTTAGCTATTATTATTTTTATTGTTATCACTCTTGGTTCTTTAAAGTTTACAAAGCACTTAGTCCACCCTAACCCTGTAGGGAGTAGAGCAAATATGATCACCATTTGACAGATGAAAAAACTCAGGCTTAGAAAGGCAAAAAGACTGGAGTGCTTATTTTCCCCCAGTTCCCATCAACTCTGAATTTTATTGTAAACCATTTTAATCAGTATTTTAGGTACAGAGAAGTAGTTTACTATTGCTTTACTTTGCGTAATTTCCAAAAATTAAAATGTTTGGACAATTTTTTGTATTATTAATAAGCATTTTGCATTTTCTCTTTAAAATTATTTTAAAATCTTTGATCATTTTCATTGGGGGACAGGTATATACCATATTTCACTGCATAATCGTCGTGGATTTTATGCCAAATATTTTGCATAAAAGTGGAGTGAGACCATAACGTGAAGCTTTTTTTTGTTTTGTTTTCGGCTAGGCAATGACGTTAAGTGACTTGCCAGGGTCACACAGCTAGTAATTGTTATGTGTCTAAGGCCACGTTTGAACTCAAGTCCTCCTGAATCCAGGGCTGGTGCTCTATCCACTGCACCACCTAGCTGCCCTCTAATGTATCTCATCACCCACTTAAACACCTGATTATGGTATGGAGGTGACCTTGAGACTTCAAGGCTATGCCAAAGCAGGACAAGCTCTGGCAGACTCCGCCAAGCCAGGCTAAGCCTAAGTTCAGAGGTGGCTATCAACAGAATCTTGGCCACTGAATGAACAGTCATTTTAGGCCAGAGGATTTCATGACAACCATCTACTACACAAAAAAGAGGTGGTGGGAGAAGAGGCAGACAATGCCCTGTTAGTGGAGCTGTGCATTGGTCCAGCCATTCTGGAAAACAATTTGGAACTAGGCCCCCAAAGAACCGTGCCCTTTGATGAAGAGATCCTAAAAAGAGGAAAGAGACCCATCTGTACAAAAATATTTATGAGTCCTTTTCATAGTAGTAAAAAATTAAGGAGATACTCATCTATTTCAGAATGGCTAAACAAACTGAGGTATATGAATGAATATAAAGGAGCACTTTGTGTTAAATGATGAACAATTTCAGAGGAAACTGAGAACTGTATCAACTGATTTGGTCAAATGAGGAGAACAATTTTTATGACAGCAAGCAGAGTGAAGGAGAACAGTTTCTACAATAAAAGGAAAAACATGTTTGCAAGACTTTAGAAATCTCATAAATGCAATACAAACCACAAATGTGACATACTATGTGTATTTGTTATAAGGCTTTTCTTTTCTTTTTTTTTTTTTGGTGTTGTTCAGTGGGGGAAAGGGTTAGAATTAGGGGAATGTGAAAGAAAACATATAATGGGGGAAAAATGATAAAAAAGAAAAACAAAACTTCACAAGTATAGGACAGGGGGAGGCATTGTTAGATAGCAGTTTGTCCAGTCCTTCCAAAAATCTGGGGCTCTTGGTGGTCTGTAAACTCAGTGAATTGTCAGTGGGATGTGGCAGCCAAAAAAGCTAATATGATTGGGGCAGCTAGGTGGGGCAGTAGATAGAGCACCAGCTTGGGAGTCAGGAGGACCTGAGTTCATATCTAGCCCCAGACATTTAACACTGACTAGTTGTGTGAACTTGAGCAAGTCACTTAAACTTACTGCCTAGCCAAAAAAACAAGCTAATGTGATCTTGGGCTGCAGTAAGAGAAGTTCTGCTTCTAGAAATAAGGAAGTGGTAGTACCTCCATCCTCTCTTCTGGTTAGATCAAACTTGGACAACTATTCATTTCAGGGAACCATAGTTTAAAGAGGTCATTGATAAACTGGAGAGCATCCAGAGGAGGGCAATCAGGATAGTGAAAGGTCTTCAGACTACCCCAGTCAGCACAGAGAAGACTGAGGGAAATAATTCAAGTATATAAAAAGCTGTCAAGTAAAAGAGTAAGGGTTAGACTTTTTCTGTTTGGCTCCCGAGGGCAGAACTAGGAGCAATGTATAGAAATTGTAAAGATGTCAGAAAACACGCAAAATCAGAGCTACCCAAAATAGAGTGAGTTGCATCATGGGGAAGTTCATTAGCTTTGAAAACAATGACACCTCCAGGATCCTGTCTACCTGCTCTACTCCACTACTCTTCCTGGCTCCATCTCCCCAAATGCCATTTTTAGGTTTTCATGAGTACCAAGTACCTATTGGGTTAGAATCCAAGTGTGCTTATTAGGCCATCACTGATGAGGAAAATAAATAGCTACAGAACTGCTGACAGTGCTCTTCCCATTTTCTGTTTCTTTATCGCTGTAACTCACTTTACTTATGTGATTGCTCTTGGGACCATCCTGGCTTGAGTCTCCTACCAACCCTTCTGCAAGCCTGTTTTGTTGTCCCCAGCTTTTTTCTTTTTTAAGGCAATTAGGGTTAAGTGACTTGCCCAGAGTCACACAGCTAGTAAGTGCCACATATGAATTCGGGTCCTCCTGACTTCAGGGCTGGTGCTCTATCCACTGCGCCACCTAGCTGCCCCAGCTTTTGTGTTTAGAGATGACGTTGTCCTAATTTTATCAAGGCTGATGTGGCAGGGCTTCTTCAACAAGAGGCATGATCACACTTGTCAGACCAGCCTAATAATTCACACAGGAAAAACAAAATAGATAAATAATGCCTACTGTCTAGACCAGGGGTGGGGAACCTTCGGCCTCAAGGCCACACATGGCCTTCTAGGTCCTTGTGTGGGACCTTGACTAAGTCCAAGTTTTACAGAACAAATCCTCTTATTAAGGGGATTTGTTCTGTGAAGTTTAGATTCAGTCAAAGGGCCGCACTTGAGAACCTAGAGGGCCACATGTGGCCTCAAGGCCACAGGTTCCCCATCCCTGATCTGGACCATGACATGCAGTCGGGTGGGTCATCTATTGAGAACATCAGCATTTATCTCCTGGACAGGCACTGCAGTGCAAACAGAATTGAACCAAATGGGATTTAATTTGGGAAACTGCAGTATTTTCAACAATCCTAAGCTGCACCATGAAATAAAACCCCATCTTTTTAATAGCAATATTTTCTGGTGATATGTATATAACTGAGAAGCATGGAAATACTTTAATTTCAGGACAGTCAAAACTGTGGGTGACTCAAAGGGCAATGAATACACATGATGGTCACAAATAGTCTCTAGCCTATTACCAAAGATAACTTCAGCGCAAAAAGTAGTGTAAAGGATATCATCCAGGAAATGCATGTTGGGAAAAGGAAGTGGGTCTGAATGTAGAAAGAACAAAGAATAACAGATACACTGTGTTGGTAATGGAATGTTAGAAGACTTGGTGAAAGACCTTCAAGACATTTGGTAGGGCTTCTTATGAGT